CCTGTTTCTGGTTCTGGAGGCAACCAAGTCGTTGCTGGCTCCAGGCTACGTCTACAGCACACCACCACCTCGTTTAGACAGACTCTAAATGGATGTGGTTCAAACCAGGTGCCTCCCTCCCGAGCCTTCACTTGGAGCTACGCACAGTCTCCTCTGCAAACAGAAACAGCAAAAGTCACGCTGTATAATATCTAACTCTGATCTTTCCAGCAGGGGTGCAGGAGACCTCTCATTATCTTCACACCCGTATTTCTTCACTTCCGATTAGAATTAATTACTGACTTTCTGCTTGCTGTGTAGCAGCAGCAGACCCACCCCTCCCTGCGTTTCTACACAGTGCTCTGTGGAAATGTGCAGAAAACTGCAAGGAACACAGGTGCACATCTGAGTCGGGATTAAGACTGTGCAGAAGTAGAAGATATGGTGGTTTGGTGAGTTTAGCAGCACATAACCCTTCATTTGCCTGTATTCTTAATTATACAAAATAGAGTACCTCCTTAGCCTTACAGAAAACTCAGGTTTCACACGCAGAGAAGTTGGCTCCTGGTAAGGAACCATACATTTTATTTCTTTGGTATATCCAATGCAAGGATCCCACAACCTTATGCAAATACTAACCAAGTCTTGCAGCTGGCCAGAAAACAGGGAGATTATTATTGTCCCAGGGAGAGAAATTAGAGAGAATTAAAAAAAGAGAAACAGAGCCAGTTCCAACACCGAGAGGCCAGAGAGACATTTTGAGCACCTGAGTCTTCACAGGCACAAACCTCCGAGTCCACCAGCTGCTCCTTCAGCACACTTACTACAACCAAGCACCTAGTTGTAGGTGCTGTGATGTAGTTGTAGGGGCCAGACAGATGATTTGCCCCAGATCGTGCTGTTGCAGAGCAGCCACTGGCTGTTTTCCAATTCGCAGATATGCTAGAGAGAAGAGGCAACTGCTCAGACAAGGTCTCAAGGCTACATGAAGTTCCCTAATAAGCAGAGATAACATTTAACAAGCTACAGAACATCTCTTTTTCTACCCTATGAGGCACAGAAACAGTGAACAAATCACCAGTTTTGTCACAGACAGAACTGCAGTACTGCAATCGATGTAATTCTGATCTAAGTCTCCTGAAGTTCACCACACTTCTCCCACAGTCTTTGGGCACTCAGGACCACATCCTAAACGTTCCCTTGACTTCAGAAGCACAGCTATGCCACAAAACACAGCAGAGACTCGATTTTTCAGAAATTACACCAAAAACAGCCCTTTTAGTGATTTATTCCTACAGCAGAGGAGATAATTTATTTTACCAGTTCTGACAGATTTCCCTAAGGCCTCAAAACTCATAAGGTTTTGTATCTTCATTTCCCATAAGTAAACCTGCTCATGACAGCTCAGTGCTCAGAGATCGGGTCCTAAGCTCTTACAAAGCTCAAGCAGCAAATGGCTCCTTGAGTCACCCAAGAACTTACTTCTTTATTTTAATTATTTTTACTGCTGACCATCTAGCGCAGTTCTGTGTCATTCAGTGGTGCGTGACACTTTATTTGATGTGAGAACATGCAATAAATAATACAACACCCATATCATTTCTGGAGACCACAGCCCTCCCTAATGTTTCTTGCTGCTGCAGCTTGCTTTCTAAAACCTGTCTGGATGATGTCAAGTCACACACAAGTTTAATTCCCTCTTCCCCACCCCCTCAGACTTTAACAAGAATTGCTATGATTTTGTTTTCATTAAAAGCCTCAATGGTATTTATGTGCAGCATTCTCCTTCAGAACACTAGGACCCAAAGGTGAAATCAAGCAGCAGACAACTGTTGACCACAAAATGAGTAATCATTTATGTGCCAAGCTAAAATAAATACAAACAGAAAGCTCACTGTTCTAATGTCTTCATTTAGCAACTTGGGGTTTTGTTTTTGCTTTTAAACACAGGTTTTGTAAAAACATTTTGAGCCTTGTGAATGCTCATTTTATTATTTTTTTCCTTTGGAAAGCCTGAAGTGAAACATCTCTCCTTTCAACTCCATGTCTTCACTGCTTGCCTTTCCCGGTGGCGCAGGGGTGATGTTATCCTCCTTCATGACATATCCTGGTTTAACCACAGCTTTTTAAAACAGCCCCACCACCGGCACCAACTGCAGCCCCATCACCATCACTTACAGTTACCAAGAAACAACTTCGCTTCTGCCCACGTTTCCAAACAGCTGAACGTGTTTTTCTTATTACAACCAGCTCCTTCATTTCAATGGCGTCACAGTTGAGCTCAAGTCTGAAATGCAATGCTCCACCTAGGGCAAGTGCTTATTTTTACTCGAGTAATTGCAGAAAAAAAAAAAAAAGAGTCGACGCTGACATTTACCAAAATATTTCAGAGCACAAGCACCACCCGCTGAGCTGAACTTGAGAATTCGTGCCTGCTAGTCTTGTTTTTCCCCTCAGAGGATGCCCGATTTGACTCATGCCTGACTTCAACAAAATTTCCAGATCTCTGCTAGAATGAGAGTTGGTAGGAAAACCTCCTAAATGTGCAGCTGAGTTTCTCTTCCCATGCCCATGTTATTCCTTGTCTCTGATGAAAGGATACAACAGGACATTTTAGACCATTTCCTAGTATTTTATAAGCTTCAAACTTTACAATTTGAAGGAAAACTTTCGACTAATACAGCTGGATGTCTCCGAGAAGCTGGTTTCATTTCTGTCCCACAGACACCTATCAAAATCTCAGTTTAGTCCCCTCGTTCTAATCTGGATGCTTCTTGCTCAGCATCATTAGCAAGGCAGGAGCACTGGTCCTAGAGCAGGAACATTGCGCTCTGCCTCCCAAAAATCCCACTTACGGTTTGGTTACTGGTCATGACCCCATTGTTTATTGTATAAACGTATCATAAGAATTACTGGAATTCTTATAAATCCCAAGTAAATAAAGGGGAAAAGAAAAGCCCACCTGTAATCAGACACCGTGTAACCACATGTTAATGGGCTGTTCAGTGCCCTACTGGGATATGTTAGAGAAACGCTATAACATTATACTCAATTGCAAGAGGCCAGCAGACATTTTTAAATGAATAAATTCTATTTATATAATTACAGTAATGACTACAGTTCATACCTTATGCACAGCAAGTAAAAAAAAAAAAAACCACCACACTGGAATTTATGTAAATATTATTAATGGTACACTATGAAAAAGCAATTCATGTTAATTAAAAAACACCTTAATTGTAAAAGTTTACCAGGAACAGTTACACTGAGCGTTGCAGTCTTTGAAAGCAGAACAGAAGCTGTTTACAAGGATCCAACAGCAATGGATATCCAGCGGCTTTGGAGCTGCGACTGCAGACTCAACGTGTCCTGAAAGCCCCGCTCGGTTGCCGGCAGCAGCGGTCATCCTGCTCCTTCCTCCGAGCCTGGGATTTCACCCCAGTCTTTACAGAATCACACATTTTACATTCTTCTTTACATTCTTCATCAGTTACAAACGAGATATATTTCTTCTTCGGCAGCCAGAAGAAGAAAGATGATCAGAGAGCAGCCAAGGAGACTCGCAGGTCGAGAATCCAGTCTTGAAGCAACCGCGAGGTCTTGGGGAAGGAGAAGTGGGTTTGTAGTGGGCACTTCAGTAGCAGAGCTGATGACAGGACACTGACCACTACTCATAGAAAGAAATAAATCTGAGGTTCAGTCCTTGGTGAAGACACCATCGTATTTGACTAAGAAGGAAGGCAAGCACAGTGTGTGAGAGTCTAAGTGCTTGTACTGCACACAAGGCATACGAGGAGCTGAACAATTTCTCTGCATACATCAAGACATTGCTAAGGAAAAAAGAATAGCAAAGGTTTTTAGCACTCAAACGATTGGTTGGGTGAACCAGATTTCAAATCCAACTTTACACATTCTCAATAAGCAGAAAGGCCTCAACGTTGAAGATGAAACATGTTTAGCACCAACTGCAGGCTTGCAAGTGAACACTTATTGGCAAGAGATGAGTACAGAAAGACACGTCGTCTTTCACCGAGAGGCACCCCATTTTAAGGCAATATCCAAAATGACAACACAGCCACCACGGAAACTGCTCCAATGATCCCTGATGCCTTATGGCACCCACGTGGGTCCCATTGCTGAGGGAAGGTAGGAACCAAATTGGTGTTTGTCCTCCTCCTCCTCCTCTCCATGACGTGCCCTGGAACACCAGGCATTTCTGACATCTGTGTCACTAGTTGTCATAAAGCAAGCTAGTTTTGCCCTGTATCTCTAAACCCCTCTGCAGTCAGTTACATCAGCCATAAAAACCACTGTCTGTAGCAAAGAAAGTGCTAAGGAATCGCCACCTTTCCTTATCTCAAACCAAATCAAAAAGTTGTTCAATATGGTAGCAAGTGTTTACATAATTAATACAAATGAGAGGTTTGGGAGCATTTCCCAGAAGGGAAGTCTAAGGACTGCAGCCGGTCCAGCCAGATGTGCTGCTGCAGCACAGAGCACCCAGCCTAGGGTTGGTTTTTCTTCATTGCTATCAAAAAGAGTCAGTTTACTTGCTCGTATCTGCACTAAAGGGTATTTTAGGAATAGAGACAGTAACTTCTGAATAGAAACTCTATCAAAGGAAGAGGTAAGCAGTTTGTTCTCAATGCTCATCACTTTGTGGAACTCCATCATCCGTTTTTATGAACAACGGCACCTGGGTGTGCAGCTCAGAAATAGAAGAGCACGAAGGATATTCCCAGAATCACTTACGGCTAAAGGCGAGGAGCAGAACTGCATCGCAACCCTACTTTTTCATGATTTAAAGGTGTGTTAAAAGGTACCAACTGAGATTTTCAGGAAATCTATTATTTGGCTTACACAGTAAGCTATGCCTTGTGCGCTGTGTTCTAGACAAAAGTTGCGTTCAAAAATGGCACACAAGGTTTAAGAAACTTTACACAACGCCGATGAGTAATCTGTGCTTTCATAAATACGGTAGTATACATCCTATGTACAAAAGCTGGCCTCCGGGAAGGCTGTCAGCCAGCCATCCACAGAAAGAAGGGAATAAAGATAGTGGGGAGCGTGGTGGAGGGTGCCAAACCCAGGCAGAATATTGATGCTAATCCCACGAGCACTGAAGCGAGGACGCTTCTCTGGTCCCGAATAATCATCTTCACAGTCTCACAGAACTGAAAAGATAAGAAAAATTAGGAAAAGATCGGGGTTAAAGAGGAAAAGATCAGGGTTAAGGACTAAAGTTTTAGCCAGGAGATGCCCACCCTCTCCCCTGCAGACCCCCCAGCTCTCACAGGGGCTCTCCAGAGCATGGTGTGGGGCGAAGAGCAACTTTGACGCTGGCTCCTGAGCCGGCTCCGGCACGTTTTAAATTATTTTAGGGATTCGGCTTCCCC